CCACTATCTATATCTTCATTGGAATGTCACCTCGTTGCTCTCTCTTCCTTTCCTCCATGGTTATCTGAGCTCCCTTCCGCCTCTCCCTGGCCGCCGCTCTCCAGCGGCCTTGCTCTGTGGCTCTCGCTCAGCCCTGCGGGGGGCCGGGGGCCGTGGCAGGAGTGGCCGGCGTCGGTGGATGAAGGCGCCGGAGAAAAGGCTCGCGGCCGAGACGGGCCTGCGAGCTGGAGGCTGGACAGGAAGTGAGCGCCGGCCCTGGGCCCCCAAGGGACCCGGTGACACCCACCCCGTCCTCACCGAAGCCCCCCGCACCCACCCCGAGAGCAGCCGCTTACGGGGTCTCAGCGCGGGACCCGGTGACACCCACCCCGTCCTCACCGAAGCCCCCCGCACCCACCCCGAGAGCAGCCGCTTACGGGGTCTCAGCGCGGGGGTGTGTGTGTCTTTAAAACCTGCTCTCACTGCCGTGCCTCAGTTCGCCCGCCTTCAGGGCCGCCCCCGTTCGGGGACCACCCTGCACCCACCTCCCTGGGCCCGGCGTGCCTCTCAGGCTCTGCTTGGGGAAAGGCCCAGTTCCCTGTGTCTCCACATCCCACTTCCCAGGGCTCAGGGGCTGACCTAGGAGCCCGGAGGTCAGGGTTCGATTCCGGGCAGGGCACAGGCCCGGGGTGCGGGCTCCATCCTCCGTGTGGAGCGTGCAGGAGGCAGCCGGTCCCTGATTCTCTCTCATTGTGGATGTTTCTCTCTCTCTCCCTCTCTCTTCCTTCCTCTAAAAAATATTTTTAAAAAACCAACAACCACAGGCAGAGGCGTGGGGTGTCTGCCCGTGTGCGGCTCCCGAGGTGAGCAGCCGGCGTGTGGAAGGCCCGGCTGGGGGACGGCAGCCCGCCTTGCGTTCCTCGTCACCACAGGGACCCCAGTGCCGCCGCGGGCGCCCCAGGACGCATCAGGGAAGACAGGGCTAAACGCCGGGGTGTGAAGTCAGACAGAGCGGCGGCCGGCCTGGGCGCTGGATTCCCGGCCTCCAGCTCCCCCTGGTGGCAGCTTCCCAGCCCGCCCGGCGCAGCAGCAGCCTGGCCCCGCCTCGGGGCGAACCGGCTGGTGCCGGGAGGGGAGGGTTCTCCCAGGAGGGGCCTCGGCAGTGGCTCCTCGGAGGTGACCCTGAGGCACTCGGCGCCCGGAAGAAGGCGGCGTGCTTCACGCCCAGCTTCCCCTCCAGCAAACACCTGGCGTCCGTGTGGTCTGTGGGAGGCAGCAGGCGGAGGTCAGGGTTCCATTCCCGGTCAGGGCACATGCCCTGGTTGCAGGCTCCATCCCCAGTGGGGGGTGCAGGAGGCAGCTGATCCATGATTCTCTCTCATCGATGTTTCTAACTCTATCCCTTTCCCTTTCTCTCTGTAAAAAAATCAATAAAATATTTTTTTTTAAAAAGAGCTGAAACCGGTGTGGCTCAGTGGATGGAGCGTCAGCCTGAGGACTGAGGGGTCCCGGGTTCAATTCCGGTCAAGGGCATGCATCTTGGTTGCAGGCACATCCCCAGTGGGGGGTGCAGGAGGCAGCTGATGGATGATTCTCTCTCATCGATGTTTCTAGCTCTCTATCCCTCTCCCTTCCTCTCTGTAAAAAATCAATGACATATATTTTAAAAACAGTAAAATCAATAAAAACACATTTTATTAAAAAAAGACAGCAGGCCGAGCCCAGGTCTGCACGGGCGCTCCCTCCCACGGCGGCCGCGAAGGAGGGGGTCAGGCCGCTGTCCACGAGGGCGTGGGCGGGGAGACACCCGCCACCCGTGCCCCGCCCCACGCAGGCTCCCCCCCCCCCCCGGGGGACAGACGCGGGGTCGCGCCTGCTCTAGTGATTTGGGGCAAAAGGGCTGCACTGACCGGCCGCCCCCGCGGCCTCGGTGGTGACCGCTCAGCGCGGCCGTGAGGTTTCCGGCAGCAGGAGGGGCCACCGGACTGAGAAGATGGCCGCTGTTCTGTTTTGCTTTTTAAAATGTGCTTTCATGGATGTCAGAGGGGAAGGGCATTGGATTTGGATCCAGAGGAGTTGGATTCCTAACCCAAGGCCCTTCACCTGTGGGCTGGCACTCTAACCACTGGGCCACCGGCCGGGCCTCGGCAATCTCAGCAGACGCTCTGCAGCCCTCTGGACTGAACTGCCTGCCCCCAGTTCACACGCCGGAGCCCCTACACCCTGCTCCCCGCGCACAGAGAAGAGGGGGCCGCCCGCAGGCCCCGGAGGCGGCCTCGGGAGCTCACCCCTCCAGAGCCCGGGGATGAGGGGCGATGTCGGTGGTGTGAGCCCACAGGCCGGTAAGCAGGGACCTGCTAGACTGGTGCCTACAGCAAGGAGCATGGGGGGGGGGCCTCAGCCAAGGAAACCCACCCCCTGAACCAAACCCCTAACTGACCGCAGCCCCCCACTCCCCACAGGGACCCCAACCCCGGAGGTGCGGCCCGCCCCCCGTGGCTGGAAAGAACCTTCCGGAATCACAGCCGCGGCTCCGCGAGGTCCTGTGTGCAGCCTCCCAGGGCAGACACCGCCATTTGGTGAAAGCCATGGTCCCAGCACTGCGGTATGCGGGACACGGGGCAGACACAGACATACTCGCGTGAGAATGGCGTGTTCCACGCACCCACGGACACGGCTTCTCTCCGCCCGAGACCCAGGCTTCCCGGCGCGGCCAGCCCTCCCTCGGGACCCGCGGACCTTTTTTTTTTTTTTTTAATGTATTTTATTGATTTTTTACAGAGAGGAGGGGAGAGGGATAGAGAGTTAGAAACATCGATGAGAGAGAAACATCAGTCAGCTGCCTCTTGCACGCCCCCTACTGGGGATGTGCCCACAACCAAGGTACATGCCCTTGACCGGAATCGAACCTGGAAACTTTCAGTCCGCAGGCCGACGCTCTACCCACTGAGCCACACCGGCTTCGGCGGCACCCGCAGACTTTTACAGTTTCTTTTGCAGCAGCGTGGCCGCGCGGCCCCCTGAGACCCACACTTTATTTGCCACCTCCAACCTAACAGTAGATTACCTGTAATAATAATCTATAGTAATAAAAGTGTAACCTGCTCATTAGACCGGACGACCTTCCTGGGAGACGGGGCTGGGAGGGAGCCCGGGTCCCAGGGGCCGGAGGGAAGCCGTGCCCGCAGCCGGGGCAGGAAGCCTGCTCTGGCACGAATACTGTGCCTGGAGCCTCCAGAACAAATATGATTGATTTCAGAGAGGGAGGGAGAGGGAGGGAGAGAGAAACATCGATGTGGGAGAGACACATGGGCTGGTTGTCTCCTGCCTTCGCCCTGACCAGGGCCGGGATCGATCCTGCAACCGAGGTACGTGCCCTTGACCAGAATCGAACCCGGACCCTTCAGTCCACAGGTGGAGGCTCTATCCACTGAGCCACACCCGACAGGACAAGCAGAACCATCAGGACCCTCCGCTCGGCCTCTGGGGCCTCCGGGGCAGTCCCAGGGCACCAGCACCATCCGGCCCTTTCCCAAATGAGGAGCCCGAGGCCGGGCCCGGAGTGACGCCGGGCAGGCCTCAGGGCTGAGCATGGCTGTGGTGGGGACCCCACACGGAGGCCCCGCCAGGGGGAGGGCGGTCCCCGGTCACAGCGTCTCAGGGCCTCAGACCTGAGGGCGGCAGGTGTGCGTGATCCTCACCGCTCTCCCCCTCCCCTTCCTCCTCCCCTCCTGCTTCCCTCCCCTCCCTTCCCCCAGATCCACCTAGAAGCCTCTTCCCCTCCTGGTTCCCCCCCTCTCCTCCGTCTCCCCAGTCTCCAGGGAAGGAGTGAGCCGCGGGGACTTCATGGGCCGCCAGGGGGCGCTGCCCGCAGAGAAACCGAGCCTGTTGTGCGCTGATGGCAGCTCCAGAACGCGGTGGAGACTGTGCACAGCTGTGCAGCCGGCGTCACTGACGTGGGCACGCACTCCGGACACGTGTGGCCGGGCAGCTGTGTGGTGTGCACACGCCCGGAGTGCACTGTGGCTCCCGGGCCACGCGCCTGCCCGGCGTGTCAGGGTGCGGACCCGCAGCCGCCGCAGCACGGGGGGCCGTGTGTGTGGGCCTACACCTACCAGCACCCACACGGGCCACGTAACTGCGATGGGAAAGGTGCTCAAAGGGCAGGGCCCCTGCAAGTCATGTGTGACATTGTTGCTGGCATCACGGGTGGCTAGTTGTTACATTGCTGCTAACATTATTGTTGCTGACATGCACTGTGTGGTTGGTTACGTTGTTGCTGGCATTACTGTGTAGTTGTTACATGGTTGCTGGCATGTACTGTGTAGTTAGTTACATTGTTGCTGACTTGTAATGTGTAGTTGATCCTAAACCAGCCCCAACGGAGCAGGTGCAGACCTGGTTTTCCTGCCAGGATTCCCTGAGGGAACAATGTGACCGCTGTTCACCCAGCACTGAGGGGTGCTGGTATGACGAGCAATCTCTATTTGGGGATTAGGGGATCTGGGGGGCCCTGTCACCCCACAACCCTCAGGCCCCTTGCCTGCTCCAGGCTCCCCGACATCACCTGGTCCTGGGGCCCAGGAGTGAAGCCGCCCTTGGCCTTTGACGCCCCCAGGTCCCCAGCCCCTGGCCTCAGGCTCCGGCCTGGAAGTCACCAAACGCTACCATAGCCCCTTCCCTCCCTCCCAGGCCCTGTGCTCTGTGCGTGGGGCTGGGAGGAGGTGGGTCCCTGGGCCCGAGGCCCAAGCCCAGGGGGACAGGGGCGCCGTGTGGGGCGGGCCGAAGGGCGGGGGCCTGGGGCCTCACAGCGGACGGGGGCCGGGCCGGGTCGAAGGGCAGGCGGTCCTCCCGGGAGGCCGGCGACCAGGGCCCCGATTGCGGCGACTGCGGCTGAGGACCGGGTCCCGCAGCTCCGCGCTCCGGGGCGACCGGAAGGTCCCGCGCCCCGAGCGGAAGGGGGAGGGCGGGGCGGGGCCTGCGCGGAGCGCTCCGCCGGGTGACCCCGGTCCGGGAGGCGGCGGCTCCGGCTCGGGCTCCGGCGGGAGGGGCCGGCGGGCGGCGCCGGAGGAAGCGGAAGCGCCGGCGGGTGGCTGACCCCGGCCCTGACCCCGGCCCGCGGGACCGGCGCCACGCCCGTCACGGGCCGGGGAGGCGGCTGTGACCTCCCGGGACACCGGCGCCTCTTCCTGCCGCAGCCCAGGTACCGGGTCCGGGCCCGGCCCCGGGTGCGAGTGGGGGCGCGGGCGCGGGGTCCCGGCGGCACCTGCGAACCGGCGCGGCCCGGGCCAGCTCCGCGGCGGGGCCCCCAGGAGGGCTGGGGGGGACCCGGGAGGGGGACCCCGAGGTCTGTCAGCGCCGGAGGAGGGTGCGGTGGGGCCGGGCCTGGAAGCTTCTTGAGAGCCGGGCCGAAGCCGGTGTGGCTCAGTGGTTAGAGCGCCGGCCTGCGGACTGAAGGGTCCCGGGTTTGATTCCGGTCAAGGGCATGTGCCTTGGTGGCGGGCACATCCCCAGGAGTGGGTGTGCAGGAGGCGGCTGATGGATGCTTCTCTCTCATCGATGTTTCTCTCTATCCCTCTCCCTTCCTCTCTGTTAAAAAAATCAATAAAATATAGAAAAAAGAAAAAAAAAGAGGGCTGGGAGGGCATGCTCAGCTGCGGCCCGGGTTTCGGGGAAGGCAGGTCCTTCCCTGCGGCCTTCCCTCCTGGCTTTCCAGACACGGCTCCGAGGGGCCGGGCCACCCCCCTGTAAACGCCAGCAGCTGTCCCCCTAGAAAGGAACGGCCGTTCACGGGGAGCACCAGGCAGGGTCTGCGCGGGACAGGTAGCTCCCGGGGAGGCCCGGCTCCGGCAGAACCCCAGATGGCGTTGCGATGAGGGACCAGGGTCGGGCAGCTTTGAGCCGGGAGGGCACGCTGTCGCTGGTGCAGGGCACTGGTCCCGGGACCCCCGTTTCCGTTCCCAGCCCCTGGTCCCCCGCCAGGACAGACTGCTTTCTGTTCTCTCCGCACACGCACAGCTCTCTGGGCCGCAGGGGAGTCCAGGACCCTCCCCCAGCTCCTGGCCAGCCCCAGGGCCCCCCTCCGCTGCCTCAAGCCCCACCTGGCAGGCAGGCTCCTCGGGCTGATGCCACTTTGCAATTTCTGCCTCGAGGACGGAGCCATGGACGCCGGGGCCGGGTCAGGCCCTTGGGTCTTGCCTCCCGGGTGCGGCTGGAGACCCCCTGGCTCCTGTGAAGGCAGCGTCCCCCGCCAGCTGCTGTGCCCTGGGGGACCCTGATCTGGGGAATGTCCCGGGCCCGCGGGCGTGGCTCCAGCTGGAGGTCACGGTCCATTCCTGTCAGGGCACAGGCCCGGGTTGTGGGACAGGTCCCGGTGAGGGCGTGCAGGAGGCGGCTGGTCCATGATTCTCTCAGGGTGTCTCTCTGGCTCCCTCCGCTTCCCCTCGGACACCGATGGAAAGTACATGAATATAAAACACACAGAAGGTCCCAGGCACTGGCACAGGGACTCGGCTCTCCTGGGCCTGCGAGAAGTTCCGAAACCCTGCCGGGGGGGGGGGGGGGGGGGGCAGGTCCGAGTTTGATCTGAGGACTCCCCGTTTTCCCCCGGGACCGGGAGGACAGTTGCACATTGGAGACGGGTCCGCATTGCCCGGGGTTCAAAAACCGTCATCGACCCACAGGCGGAGCTGGAGGCTGCCCTATGCCCTGTGGCCTCCTTGGCAGCTGTCAGCATGAGTCAGCCCTGGAGAGGGGGAGGGGGAGGGAGAGGGGGGGGGGGGGGGGGGGGGGGGGGGGGGGGGGGGGGGGGGGGGGAAGTGCCCCTGGAGGGGGCGGGAAGGAGGTGCCAGCTGGGCTTGGCCTCAGCTCCAGCTGGAAATAGCTCAGCTTTGGTTTTATTTCCCAGAGCCCGCCCTGCCCCGCCCCACCTCTCCCTGCCCTGCCAGCTGGGCAACCAGCCTCCTGACCCCAGAGGCGCTGTCACCCGGTCCAAAGGCCAGGGCCTGCTCCGTGGGGACCCGTGTGCCCGGGTCCCGGGAATGCTGGAGTCTCTTCTCCTCTGGCCGGTGCGTCTTCCCACCGTGGCCGGCCCAGGAGTGGAGGCAGGTTGTCTTTCCCCGGGGTTGTTTTTTTTCTCTTGACTTCAGAGCGGAAAGGAGAAGGAGGGAGGGAGCAAGAGGAACATCAGTGATGAGAGAATCATGGACTGGCTGCCTCCTTCACTGGGGATGGAGCCCGCAACCCAGGTGTGTGCCCTGACGGGGAATCGAACCCTGACTTCCTGGTTCCTAGGTCGACGCTCAATCCCTGAGTGACGGGCCGGGCCTGTTTGTTTACTGACTTCCGGCCGCTGCTTTCTCGGTGACGGAGGGCTGGTCACCTGACGGTCCTCCCGGAGCAGGTCCGTCCGCCCTGGACACGGCGAAGAGCGAGCTTCGGGCGGGAGCGCTGACCCGTGGGCACCCTCCCTCGGGCGGCGGGCGCGCCATGCCCCTGATGGTGGACGAGGCCATGCGGCTGCTGTGCTCCCTCTCGGAGGCCAGGAAGATGAAGGCGGCCGTCAAGCACGCGGGCCGGGGCGCCCTGCTCACCGGCGCTGTGGCCTTTGTCGGGGGCCTGGTCGGGGGCCCGCCGGGACTGGCCGTCGGTGAGTGCAGGGCCGGGGGGGGGGGGGCTTGGGGGGGGGGGACGGGGGACACGAAGGCCTCTGTCCACAGCGCCCTCACGGGAGCTGCCACCACGGAGGGCTGGGAGCTGAGTGAGACACGGCCTCTGGACAGACGTGTGCGGGCACACACGTGTCCTGTCTCAGCAGCACGGGCTCCTCCTGCGGGGCTGTGGGTGCGGCCTGGGGGGCGCCCTGCCCAAGGGATGTGCCCTGTGACCTCTGGGTGGGCTGCTCCTGTCTGACTGCAGGGATGGGGGGGGGGAGCTTGGACCCAGGCCTCTGGCCGTCACGTTAGCTGCTCAGAGAGCACCCCCTGCCCCCCACTCCCACCCCGGGCCCCAGGCTGTGCAGGAGAAGCTGCCCCTCGTCTCCCACAATGCACCTGCCCTGGGCACAGCCCTCCTCCCATCTGGGGACCAGAGTGTGGCAATGGGGGAGGTTTGGCCGCTTCCCGTGGTCCCTGGGAGGTCGAGTGAGTTGCTCCCTCTAGTCTGGGAGCAGGAGGATGCCCGGGTGACCCCAACCTCGGGCCGGGACCCAGACCACGGGCGTGGCCTGAACAGTGGGCTATGGGCCGGGTCATGGGCTGCCACCTAAATCCTGTGAACAGCCCCCCTAACCGGAACGTCCTGTCCCCCAGGGGGCGCCGTCGGGGGGCTCCTCGGGGCCTGGATGACCAGCGGGCAGTTTAAGCCGGTCCCCCAGATCCTCATGGAGCTGCCGCCGGCCGAGCAGGAGAAGCTGCTCAGCCAGGTCACGGCCATCGTCAGGCACCTGGAGTGGACGGACGCTGTGCAGCTCACCATGCTGGTCATGGGCAGCCAGGCGCTGCAGGAGCAGCTGCTGGCGCTGCTGGTGGGCTACGTCACCAAGGAGCTGCAGGCCGAGGTGCAGTACGGAGACTAGGCACTAGGGGGGGCTCCTGCCTGGGGCTCCTCGCGGCCCGGCTGGTCCTGATGGTCTGGAGATGCTGACGAAGACGCCGCGGGAAGCTGCCGAGCAGAGGCCTGAGGCGGCCGCGGGGACAGGCTCTGCGTCCGCGCTCCTGACGCGCAGGGCGGAGGGGGCGGCCCCTGGGCTGTGGAGGTGGCTCTGGCGGCCCCGGCAGGACTGGGACCCCTCGGGGCCTGGCCGCCGGCACTGCTGGAATCACGCAGCCCCTGAGACCACCCCCTGTCCCCCAGTCCCTTCCGGGGGCCCCACGGGGGCAGGGGGGCGCCAGGGGCACCGGCCCAGCAGCCGGGAGGAGCCCTGTGGCGGGAAGAGCTGTGCTCCTGGTGGCCTGGGGGTCAGGACGACCTCTGAGCAGCGACCGCCCCAAAGGCCCACACTGTCCTGCCTCCTGAACCGCACGGCCCGTCCGCGGCCCCACACGCTTCTGACCAGTCTTTACCCCTCGGGTTCCGGAAAGGATGGCTCACCCACCGCCAGGGACAAAGGGAAGGCAGGGCCTGGGGCTGTCAGCGTGGAAGGAAGCTGGGATTGCCTGCCTGAGGCCCCTTTCCAGGCTGCTCCGCCTCCCCGTGCCTCCAGGGGGCGCTGACTGCTCGGCCTCCCCGTGCCTCCAGGGGGCGCTGCTCCGCCTCCAGGGAGGGGAGTTCTCCTGCTCAGGATGTCAGAGCCCCACTTCCATGTGCACAGAAAACTGGGTGGATGGAACCTGGTGCGTCAGGAAGGACGGAGCCTTTGGTCTCAGAGACATTGCCCTGCAGCTGTCAGGGCCCAGGGGTCAGAGGTCCCACCCCACCGAAGGTCCCCTCTCCTGGGCCGGCCTGCCTTTCTCTGGGGAAAGAGCATGGGGAGGAGACGGCCCCACCCCTGACCTCAGGGGCGGGAGGCCCCACCCCTGACCCTGGGGCTGGAGGACCACCCAGTGCTGAGCTGTCGCCCATGACCAGCCCAGTCCTGGGAGGGGGCAGTGGCTTTGGGCCCCAGAGGCCCCCTCGGGCCTGAAGCTGCTCAGCCCCTGGGCTCATCTCGTAAAAACCTCCACTTGGTTATGTCTGAAGAGGCCTCCCCAGCTGGTCCTCAACCAGGTACCAGCCTAAGAGGCCTTCCCCTCGGCTGCCCCTGCCCCGCCCCTCTTGTCAATCAATGTCATGTGCATCCACTCAGTTAACGGTTTAACCATGGTCTTTGTAAAGGATTCCTTCCCCTTCATTTGTCAACGATTGCCGAAGACTTGGGTGTGTAATAAACTACGAATTCCAGCACGCAACATGACACGTGGTATATTGCATGCACACCTTGTCATGCCGTGTGCCCATGTGCGCATGTGTGCATGCGTGTGTGTGTTTCTATCCTGTTTCCATCGTTGCTGTTAGGCACTTAGAACCCTTCCCCGGATGAGCCTGGGCTGGAGCTGGAGTTCCGCCCACGTGTGTGGCGTCAGTGACGGTCCTGGGCTCGGGCCCCGCCCAGCGGCTGCCTCCGGACAGTCTCAGCATCACACAGGCCGCGCAGGCTTTTTGCTTTCATATCCAATTGGGTTCTGGCTCCTGAGAGACAGTCTCCAGGGAGATCCCTCCAAGTGAAGCTGTTGGGTTCAGAAGTGGCAGTGATTTTAGGATAAATCTTTTTTTTTAAAATATATTTTATTGATTTTTTACAGAGAGGAAGGGAGAGGGATAGAGAGCCAGAAACGTTGATGAGAGAGAAACCGACCAGCTGCCTCTTGCACACCCCTCACAGGGGATGTGCCCGCAACAAACGCACATGCCCTCGACTGGAATCGAACCTGGGACCTTTCAGTCCGCAGACCGACGCTCTACCACTGAGCCAACCCGGTTTCCGCAGGATAAACATCTTTTTATTGATTCCAGAGAGGAAGGGAGAGTAGAAACATAATGATGGGATCACGGATTGGCTGCCTCCTGCACGCCCCCCAGTGGGGGTCCAGCCCACAACCCGGGCCTGTGTCCTGACCAGGAATCGAACCGTGACCTCCTGGATCCTAGGATGACACCTAACCACTGTGCCCACCCCCGGGCCTCTCAGCACTTGGTGTCCTTCCTGCTGACCTGCGAGGTCAGGGCAGGGGCAGCCGCAGACACCATCCCACCTGTGAGCCCGTCCTCACGCCCTCCCCTGCCAGGCAGCACCCTGGGCCTCGCTGTGGGCACCTGGTCACTGGCTGGCGTGTCTCCTCAGCTGCTCCCTGAGCTCCCCAAGGGCTTGCCGCCTCCCACCCAGGGCCCCAGCTCAGCTGAAAGGCTGTGGGGTGGCGTCGGCTGGTGGCCAGGGCGCTGGCAGGCTCAGCGAAGGCCCCGGCAGGGCTGTCGGAGCAGCAGCGAGGTCTGCGTGCGGCACACACAGGCTGCGGGCGGGTGGCCAGCGCTCAGGGACTGGGCTGAGCCTCTTGCGGGGCGGTGCCCCAGCCCCCGCTTCCCGTTGGCCCGAGGGGACCCCCAGTGCTGACCCAGAAACACCCCGTGGCCTCCTGGTCCGCAGGCGGATGCTCAGCCACGCCCACCGGGCATCCCTTTATTTTGTCCCTTAGATGCCACGTAGGAGGGAGCTCACGTGACCCTTGTTCTGACCCCAGGATGCTCCCCACGTCCCCATCCTCCCAGCTGACTCCCCACTCCCCTCGCCTCCCAGTGAGGCCTCCTCTAAGGCTCTGCCTCTGGGCACGGAGGGGACGGAGGTGGGCGGGCAGTGTGGTCCCTCCCGGGTGCCCTCTGCGCCCCCCACAGCCCGCCAAGATGGTGGCGTGGCCTCTGGTGACCTGGGCTGGGCGGGCCTCAAGGCCGCAGGCTGCCTGCAGGGATCTGCTCAGCACAGGAAGTGTCTCTAACCGTTCTGTTCTCTACCCTCTCCCTTTCCAGAGCGGGACCAGCACCCGGCCGCCCCGAGTCCTGTGCCCGCCCACCTGCCCAGCCTGGTCTCCGCACCTCACTCCGGTCCCCAGCTGCTGCTTTTGTTTTTAATTCCATTTCATTCTTTTTTTTTTTTTTTTTTTTACAGAGTAGAAGGCAGAGGGATAGTTAGAATCATTGATCAAGGGCCTCCTGCACACAGCCCACTGGGGATGGATGTCCCCACAGTCAAGGTACATGCCCTTGACCGGAATCGAAGGCGGGACGGTCTCCAGCTTCTTGGTGACCAAGCCCATGGTCAGCTCCAGCAGCTTCTCCTGCTCTGCTCGGCTTTGCTGGCCATGGCCTGCTTGTCAGGGGCTTGATGGCGATGGCCATGACCTGGCTGCGTAGCTGCTCCTGCTCAGTGGGCATCAGCTCCTTGACCCTCTGAGGGACAGACTTAAAATGCCCTCCAACACATCCATGCCAGTAGAAAAAGTCCGACGGCGCCCCCTGTAGGATGGGAGGTTCGGTGAGTGAGGCTGTCCACAGTGCTGGACTCGGAGGTCGCTGGGAGCTCCTCAGAGGATTTAGGGCCCGTGCCACAGCCATGGATTCTAACGCTGGTCTGGGTCCCGGCCCCAGGTTGGGGTCACCCGGGCACCCTCCTGCTCCCAGACTAGAGGGAGCAACTCACTCGACCTCCCAGGGACCACAGGAAGCGGCCACACCTCCCCCATTGCCACACTCTGGTCCCCAGATGGGAGGAGGGCTGTGCCCAGGGCAGGTGCATTGTGGGAGACGAGGGGCAGCTTCTCCTGCACAGCCTGGGGCCCGGGGTGGGAGTGGGGGGCAGGGGGCGCTCTCTGAGCAGCTAACGTGACAGCCAGAGGCCTGGGTCCAAGCTCCCCTGTCCCTGCAATCAGACAGGAGCGGCCCACCCAGGGGGGCAAAGGCACACACCTCGGGCAGGGCGCCCCCCAGGCCGCACCCACAGCCCCGCAGGAGGAGCCCGTGCTGCTGAGACAGGACATGTGTGTGCCCGCACACGTCTGTCCAGAGGCCGTGTCTCACTCAGCTCCCAGCCCTCCCGCGAGGCCCCTGTGGACAGAGGCCTTTGTGCCCGCCCCTCCCCCTCCCCCAGGCCCTGCACTCACCGACGGCCAGCCGCCAAGGGCCTGCACCCCTGGCTTTGATAACCATCAGGGCTATGATCCACTGCAGGTTGTCCCAGGAGACACTGGCCACTCTCCACACGGAGTAGAAAAGCAGGTGGACAGCCTCCTCCTGGGATGCGGACGGAGCGGGGGTGGCCGGCCTGCGGGAGGAGGGTGCCCACGGGTCAGTGCTCCCGCCCGAAGCTCGCTCTTCCCCGTGTCCAGGCGGACCCGCTCAGCGAGACCTCCTGGGTCATGGTCGACCCTCCAACTGGAGCCACGCCGGCCGGGCCCCGGGACATTCCCCAGATCAGGGTCCCCAAGGGCACAGCCCCTGAAGGTCAGGTCAGCCAGCAGCCTGGCGGGGGTCGCTGCCTTCGCAGGAGCCAGGGGGTCTCCAGCAGCACCGGGGAGACAAGACCCAAGGGCCTGACCTGGACCCGGCGTCCATGACTCCGTCCTCGAGTCAGAAATTGCAAAACGGCATCAGGCGGATGAGTCTGCCTGCCAGGAGGGGTTTGAGGTGAACTGGGGGCGGGGGGGGGTGGTGTGTGTGGACACAGGCACCTGAATTCGAAAAGGAAGCCGTCCTCATTCAGGCTCTCCCCTCTGGGGCAGCGGCTGGTTTTGGGCCGGGCTCTGTGTGCCCTGCGAAAGGCCAGTTCTTCCCCCTGCTCCCGGGGGACCGCCCTCAATGGCACTTCCTCCTCTTTCTGGAGGACCGCTGTCCTCACGCTCAGAGGCTCCATCTGGAAAAGAATTGAACTGCCTGTTAGCAACAATGTAACTAACCACACAGTGCATGTCAGCCACAATGTAACAATGTAACTAACCACACAGTGCATGTCAGCAACAATGTAACAATGTAACTAACCACACACAGTGAATATCAGCAACAATGTAACTAACCACACAGTGCATGTCAGCAACAATGTAACAATGTAACTAACCACACAGTGCATGTTAGCAATAATGTAACAATGTAACTAACCACAAATGCACGTTAGCAAACAATGTAACAATGTAACCAACCACACACAGTGCATGTTAGCAACAATGTAACAATGTAACTAACCACACAGTGCCTGTTAGCAACAATGTAACAATGTAACTAACCACACAGTGCATGTTAGCAATAATGTAACAATGTAACTAACCACACAGTGCATGTCAGCCACAATGTAACAATGTAACTAACTACACACTGATGTCAGCCACAATGTAACTAACCACACAGTGCATGTCAGCAACAATGTAACAATGTAACAACTAACTAACCACCCGTGATTCCAGCAACAATGTCACACATGACTTGCCCCGGGCCCTGCCCTTTGAGCACCTTTCCCATCGCAGTTACGTGGCCTGTGCTGGGTGCTGGTAGGTGTAGGCCCACACACACGGCCCCCCGTGCTGCGGCGGCTGCGGGGTCCGCACCCTGACACGCAGGGCAGGCGCGTGGCCCGGGAGCCACAGTGCACTCCGGGCGTGTGCAAGCAGTCCACGTCTCTCACATCCACATTTCTCTCTGTTCCCCCCCCTTTCCAGTCTCAGTGCCTGGAGCAGCAGAGCCAGTTGCGGGCGGGAAGCTGCCCAGCACTCTAGACGTGATTCTGAAATTGTCCGGTCATGACTGACCCTTCTGCTCCCCCCCCCATCCCCCTACAGGGAGGGCCTGAAGCATTAGCCGGGGCTCCCCTGCCCCAGGGGCAGACCCCTGCGCCCCTAACGGGAGCTTCAGCTTGAGTTGGGGTGACTGAGGCTGCGGCCTAGCCCAGGCTGGGGAGAGCCCAGCTCCGGGATGGGGAGGGGAGCCCAGGCTTGGGCCTGGGAGAGGTTCTGTTTCTCTGCGGGCAGCGCCCCCTGGCGGCCCATGAAGTCCCCGCGGCTCACTCCTTCCCTGGAGACTGGGGAGAGGGAGGAGAGGGGGGAGGACCAGGAGGGGAAGAGGCTTCTAGGTGGATCTGGAGAAGGTTCTGGGGGAGGGAGCCTCCACCTGTGGACTGAAGGGTCCGGGTTCGATTCTGGTCAAGGGCACGTACCTCAGCTGCAGGATCGATCCCGGCCCTGGTCAGGGCGAAGGCAGGAGACAACCAGCCCAAGTGTCTCTCCCACATCGATGTTTCTCTGTCTCCCTCCTCCCTGCCACTCCCTCTAAAATGTCCTCAGGTGCTGATTCACCAAAAAATGGGAAGAAACAGAGGTGCCTGCTGTGGGTCAGTCGCAGGCTGTGAGAGGAACAGCCCCAGGTGAGCGGCAGGCAGCCAGAGGGCCAGGAGGCCGACCCCACACCTGCACCCCAAGCCTGACCCCTTCCCCACAGTGCCCCTGAGGGGGTGAGGTGTGTTCCCGGACTCACATGGGGTCCCCCGAGGCCAGCACCCCACGCCCACCCCACCCGCTCCCCAGAGGCTGAGGGAGCCAGCCCCTACCTCACTGGCTCTTTTGGGAGAAACTCAGCCAGACCCAAGGCTGGGTGACCCCAGGCACAGGCCGCCCCGCACCCTCACCGCCCTCAGCCTCTCCTGGAGCGCATGGCAGAGCTTCACCTCCCTGTGAAAGCTGAGATGCTGGGCCCGGCGGCGGGGCTCAGGGGCTGAGCATCCATCCCTGGCCAGGAGGTCAGGGTTCGATTCCCGCTCAGGCACATGGCCTGGCGGCGGCTCAGTTCTCAGAAGGGAGTGCAAGAGCCGCCGATGAGTGCTCCCCTCTCATCACTGATGTTTCTCTCCTCCCTCACCTGCCTCTGACATCAGTGGGGATCTATGTAAAAGGAACAAATAAACGGAGAAGAGAGCCTGCAGCCGCCGCGGTGGGAGAGCCGGGCCCGGGCCGCTGCGCTGGGTCCTGGCAGGGACTGGAGGGAGGAGGGCCTCGGGGTCCTGAGGAGGCCCAGGGGGAGGTCACCGTGGGCCGCGTCCCGCTGTGCCCGCTGAGCGCTGGGCCTGAGCTGTGGCTTATGTTTCTCTTTCCCGTTCCGGGGGGGGGGGGGGGGGGGGTCTGGGAAGCCGGGGCCGGGCTGAGAGGCGGCCTGAGGGGTGGGGTGGGGGGAGGCTTGTTTAGGGGGAGCACTTGGACAGACAGGAGGACCCCCCTCACCCACACCCCCTCACCCACCTGTGAGCCAAGCTCCCCACACTGTGGCCGAGGAGACACCTGGGACCTGGGCTGCAGCTCTCCCGAAGGGAAGTCTGTTCAGGTTTTATTTCCTCAGGGGCCTGCCCTCTCTCTGCCCTGATTGGTCAGGGCTCAGTGGAGCGGGACAGAGGGAAGGAGGGAAAGAGGGAGGGAGAGAGGGAGGGAGGGAAGGGAGGAAGGGAAGGGTCGGAGAGAAGGGAGGGGAGGGAGGGAGGAGGGTGGAAAAGAAGGGGGATAATGGGAGGGAGGGGAGGGAGGGAGGGAGGAGGGTGGAAGAGAAGGGGGATAAGGGAGGGAGGGGTAACCCTGGGCAGAGCCCGCCCGCCCCGCTCTGTCCCATCTGCCCTGACACCAGGGCCTGCTCTGTAGGGTCCCGGGAATGTTGGAATCTTTTCTCCTCTTGGCCGGTGCGTCTTCCCGTGGCGGCCGGCCCAGGAGTGGAGGCAGGTTGACTTTCCCAGATGTTGTTTTTTCTTTTGTTTCCTCTTGATTTCAGGGAGGAAAGGAGAAGCAAGAAGCCTTCCCCGCACCCCCACCCCTCAGGCCGCCTCTCAGCCCGGCCCCGGCTTCCCAGACCCCCCCCCCCCCCAGGAACGGGAAAGAGAAACATAAGCCACAGCTCAGGCCCAGCGCTCAGCGGGCACAGCGGGACGCGGCCCACGGTGACCTCCCCCTGGGCCTCCTCAGGACCCCGAGGCCCTCCTCCCTCCAGTCCCTGCCAGGACCCAGCGCAGTGGCCCGGGCCCGGCTCTCCCACCGCGGCGGCTGCAGGCTCTCTTCTCCGTTTATTTGTTCCTTTTACATAGATCCCCACTGATGTCAGAGGCAGGTGAGGGAGGAGAGAAACATCAGTGGTGAGAGGGGAGCACTCATCGGCGGCTCTTGCACTCCCTTCTGAGAACTGAGCCGCCGCCAGGCCATGTGCCTGAGCGGGAATCGAACCCTGACCTGCTGGGCCAGGGATGGATGCTCAGCCCCTGAGCCCCGCCGCCAGGCCTAGCATCTCGGCTTTCACAGGGAGGTGAAGCTCTGCCATGCGCTCCAGGAGAGGCTGAGGGCGGTGAGGGTGCGGGGCGGCCTGTGCCTGGGGTCACCCAGCCTTGGGTCTGGCTGAGTTTCTCCCAAAAGAGCCAGTGAGGTAGGGGCTGGCTCCCTCAGCCTCTGGGAAGCGGGTGGGGTGGGGTGCTGGCCTCGGGGGACCCCATGTGAGCCTGTGAACACAGCCTCGCCCTCAGGGCTGCTGTGGGGCCGGGGCTGGGGTGCAGGTGTGGGGTCGGCCTCCTGGCCCCCTGGCTGCCTGCCGCTCACCTGGGGCATTACTGAGGCTGTTCCTCTCACAGCCTGCGACTGACCCACAGCAGGCACCTCTGTTTCTTCCCATTTTTTGGTTAATCTGCCTGAGAAGACAAATGGACATTCTTTTAATTCTTATCAGCTGATCCCGAGAGCACTGGCACAATCAAGTTATCAGTACTGATTTCTTATCTTTATCCCTGTGCTTTGAATGAGGTACAAATAGGACCTTGACTCACCCAGGACTTGATATGCTAAATCTTGTACCAAAAAATAAGGAGCTGCCAAAACCGGTTTGGCTCGGTGGTAGAGCGTCGGACTGCTGAATGAAAGGTCCCAGGTTCGATTCCGGTCAGGGGCATGTACATTGGTTGCGGGCACATCCCCAGTAGGGGGTGTGCAAGAGGCAGCTGGTCAGTGTTTCTCTCTCATCTACGTTTCTAGCTCTCTATCTCTCTCCCTTCCTCCTTTCTGTAAAATATATTTAAAAAAAAATAAGGAGCTTACCCAGATCTTGAGGAATAGGACCTGGGCACACCCAAAACTCCTATTGACCTTAAACTCCCCCTTAGAAACCAATCAATATGCTGTGTTGTCTGTGGTGAGTGTGGGGGATGCCTCCATCAGAGGGATGGCGCCCACCTAGCGCCCAGCTTTATGAATCTATTTCTGCCTCTTGTCTCTTTCTTTCTCTAATTTCTTCATCTCCAGCTCCTCCACTCAGGAACCTGTTGCTTTTCCGTGGGGGACGCAGAAAACAGAGAAAATGCCCACCGCAGTTCATCCGCACCTGAGGACATTTTCCCGTTGACTTTAGAGGAGCGGAAGGAAGAAGTGAGAGAGAGAGAAACATGGCAGTGCAGAGAGCCACTTACGTTTATTCTCCTGGCTACAACCTGAGCGGAACCGGGACCGAAACTGAAGCCGAGGTACGTGCCCTTGACCAGAATCGAACCCGGACCCTTCAGTCCACAGGTGGAGGCTCTATCCACTGAGCCACACCCGACAGGACAAGCAGAACCATCGGGACCCTCCGCTCGGCCTCTGGGGCCTCCGGGGCAGTCCCAGGGCACCAGCACCATCCGGCCCTTTCCCAAATGAGGAGCCCGAGGCCGGGACCCGGAGTGACGCCGGGCAGGCCTCAGGGCTGAGCATGGCTGTGGTGGGGACCCCACGCGGAGGCCCCGCCAGGGGGAGGGCGGTCCCCGGTCACAGTGTCTCACGGCCTCAGACCTGAGGGCTGCAGGTGTGCGTGATCCTCACTGCTCTCCCCTTCCCCTTCCTCCTCCCCTCCTGCTTCCCTCCCCTCCCTTCCCCCAGATCCACCTAGAAGCCTCTTCCCCTCCTGGTCCTCCCCCCTCTCCTCCCTCCCCCAGTCTCCAGGGAAGGAGTGAGCCGCGGGGACTTCATGGGCCGCCAGGGGGCGCTGCCGGCAGAGAAACAGAACCTCTTCCAGGCCCAAGCCTGGGCTCCTC